ATGTCAATGTGGCTTGGGAATGTCTTAGACTTTCTTACTGTTTATTTTATATGGGAGATGGCTCAGTCTATCAAGTGCCTGCAAGACGACCTGAATTGGATCCCCAGGATCCACATACAAAGTTGAGTGTGGTGGCAAGAGCTTACCATTCCATCCCCGTGCCTACCAGCCGAGCTGCAGGCCAATGAGGACCCTGTCTCAAAGAACCCACAGTGGATGGCTCTTAAAGAACAGCACTGGGTGTCGCTTTCTGCTCCGCCATGTATGTGCACACATGTGTACCCAAACACACATGAATACACATACACATAAGAATAATTAAAATAGTTGTTAATTCAACACACGTCATGCTAAGACATCTCCTTCCCTGAACTTCTGGCCTTTCTCCCCCCAAGCCAGGTGAGTTCCTCCTGATGAACAAACATAGGGCCCTCCCACCACTGTACCTCCTAGGGGTAGCCTATGGTACATTCCAGGATGAGTCCAAAGGAAGCACTTCCCCTCAGCTAAGGATATACGTGCTGGAACTTTTCATAGCAACAAAGGGTGTTGCTATATATCTAGGATGGCTGCTATGAATTTGTATTTGAGTTTGTGATCCTCCTGCCTCTGGGTTCCAAGTGCTGGCATGTGGACACGTACCCATCACATCCACATCAAGCCTCCCTCTGCTCTTGCACATCACTCCTGGCCTTCCAGGGCAGCAGCCAAGGATGTGTCCGAGGTCCCGCCAGCATCGTTCTGCCTCACATTCTGCCCAGGCCAGTGAGCACAGGCCAGAGGGCAACATTCTGACCCCCATGATTTTGATTTGAGTTCTGGGAATCAAACTCGGGTCTTTTTGCAAGCACTTTCAAGTCCCACAAGGGAAAATGAAAGCAAAGAGAGATCCACCCTTTAGACTGGGGCCATTGTTGTAAGGATGGGGTCACTTAGAAATGCTACCGGACAGCTTGGCTGGCCAGAACCTGAGCAATATCCAAAATGCCACACTCTCAACTGCGTGTTTCCAGTTTTATTAAATCATATCCTTTGACCACAAATACAATAAAGCAAACTGCAAAAGAATACGGTGGATGAATTTGTGTCAACGGCTTTCCCCTTCCTTTCAGGTAATAAGGTTAGAAAGCCAAGTAACACGCTATAGATCAGCCGCTGAAAACGCAGAAAAAATAGAAGACGAACTAAAGGCAGAGAAACGGAAACTCCAAAGAGAGGTAAACTTCCCAGGCCTTGTCTAGGGGACAAATGGGCCACAACTGTCCCTTAAGGTCAGTAGAGAGTGAATTGACCAAGTCTGGGGCATTCGTTACCCGCTCAGCCCGGCCACCCTCAAGTTCTGACATGCTACCAAAGGCATCATGGTACAGCCGGCTGGGTCCCCTCTGAGCATGCGCTGCAGGACTCGTCCATAAACATCAAGTTATTAGGAGATAAAGGAGCAGCCAGGCCTCTTAACGCCTGCATACTTTGTGCTACACAGGGCAACTCAGGAGAGGCAGGCAGGGATGGAGGCCACCTGCCATACTTCTACTCCTTCTTTGAAGACTGAATGGTTTACGTTCCCGAAAACACTTGGCAAAGATGCCCACTTGGAAAATACAGCATCTGCTGGGCCTGTGACTGCATGCTGGAGAGTGGGCACAGTTAATAATGAAATCACTTCTTTAAATATTGCAAACCTAGCCTTCTGTTTTCCATTCCCAATCACTAGCATGTATTTAGTCTTTGGGCACTGCTTCCTGCCACCCACCCAACCCCCATGGTTTCTCCCTTTTCGAGTTCAGTGTTCTGTGAGGTTAAGTCTAATTATGAACCAGAGGAACATCCCAGGCCTGAGGAAGGAGGTGGGAGGCACAAGGTGGAACCTTCTTTCCTGGAACCCAGCTATCTGCATGGGTAGAAAGCAGAGCTGTGCCCTACCCACCGACAGCTCCACCTCTGTGGTAGGGAGCTCCCTCCCTAGGGCCAGCCCTCTGCCATGATGCCTGCAAGCCTAGAAGCAACCTGCTCGCATGGCTACCTAGATGCTGCCCAGGCCCTCTGCCCCTGGCTCTAGGCTGTGGCTGTTTGGGGTTCTGACATTCAAGCTTTGATTTTTAGCTACAGAAACCTTGCTCTGGACCCCACATCAGAGAGCTACCTTCTCCAACTGGTCCAGGCTGTTTCATTTGTATTTGATGGCTCACTATGCTCACCATTTCTGAGCCCATCAAGACCCACAAGGTAGTGTGGGTCTGGAGTCTAGTTCCAGATAAGGAGCATCTCCTGGTTAAGATGCCAGAACCGGGAGCCATATATTGTTTTTCAATTAACAAACATAGGATAGAGCAATAACTCTGTGGTTAAGAGTACTTGCTGCTCTTGCAGAGGACCCAGGTTCAGTTCCCTGCACTCACATGACAGCTCACAAGTGTCTATAATTCCAGTTCAGAGATTCTGGTGCACTCTTCTGGCCTCCTTGGGTACCTGCATGCACATGGTACACAGACATAAATATATACATAGAGTACTAACTTTCACAAATAAACATGTGACCAAGTATTTAAAAAGGAAAAAAAGAAAAACATGCAGACACATGATTTTTAGGATTTCAGTGCAGGAGGGCTGTAGTGTTGCTTTCTAGTAGGGCTGGACTCTTAGCCACGCAAAACCCCATCACGTTGCGGGGAAGCCTGGTTCCCCACGCTCATTCATTGCCTTTTCTCCTCCTTCCAGCTTCGATCCGCACTGGACAAAACAGAAGAGCTGGAGGTGAGCAATGGCCACCTGGTGAAGCGACTGGAAAAGATGAAAGCCAACCGCAATGCATTCTTGTCCCAGCAGTAACCACCGGCACTGAGGGGGCAGCTCGCGGGGGACTGGGCAGCTCCCGGGGGGACTCAGACGCCTAGTGTGGCTTCGCGGGCCTTTCTCTGTGATGTCAGGAGCACTGCATCTTTCCCTGCCTCTGAGGGAAGAAGTGCTTCCGGGCAGGGGTCACCTGGGGAACCCAGCAGCACCAGATGCTGCCGACTACAGACCCCTGGCCCAGCCGGGTGATGCTCAAAGCCTGCAGATTTCTTCATAAGCACACTGGGTCTCGTGAGAGCTCTGGACTTGATGCACAGGGGCCTCTTGACACCACCGACAGGGGTGATGGAGGTCATGGGTGAGGTGGGACTTGATTTTCTTTTGTGTCTTGCTGAAGGTTGAGGGGAAATGTGGCGGTGTTGGGGAATATCCATGGCGGGCCCTCCAGTCTGAGTAACTCTAGTCGTGGCTCTGCGTCCCTGCTTCCCGTACACAAAACACTGTGGAACCACAAGCCATTACCAAGCAAAGCTCCTCCACAGGAGGAGACAAGGCGATGGTCTAGACGTAAAGTGACCTTAAGAAGACTCTTTACAGGCAACACATGAAGCTTTTCTAAGGGACTTTTGCATCGGTTCAGTTATCAGAGTACTTTCTCCCAGGGTCATTGGGCGGTAGCTTCACCGAAAACAACAGCTTTTCATTTGCATTATTTAATCCTTATATTTGGAATTGAAGTTGTTAACTTCTTTTAAAGAATGTACTGCTAGAAAAAAATTTTAAAAATGAAATGTTAAAGAGAGCGGTGTGGCTTTTTAAGGTTTATTTATTTATATGTGTGTGAATGTTCGCCTGCATGTATGTATGTGTACCACATGTGTGTGGTGCCAGAAGAGGGTGCGGGATCCCCAGGACTGGATTTACAGATGCCTGTCAGTCACCAGAACTGAACCCAGGTCCTGCAGCCAGTGCTCTTAGTTACTGAGCCATCTCTTCAACCCCCAAAGCGGGAACTCTTCTTTTGAGATGACTGTTGAGAGTTCATACTCAAGAGTGTTCAACATGTGTTTGCTATGTTTTCAGAGGTATTGTAATGGGGATGGCCACCACACCTCACAACGTGAGATGATTCCTGGGATACAGACATGCGGAAAGGAGAAACCAATTCTCATGTGGTTTTACTTTATCCCACTGAAAAATATCATTACTTGATGTCATATTTGTTTATTAGGAATCAGCTTTCATTTTGATTTTTTTCTTCAATGTGTGTGTGCATGCGTGTGTGTGCCACAGCATATGTGTGAAGGACAGGGGACAACCTGAAGGGAGTCGGTCCCCTCTTTCCACCATGTGAATCCTGGGCATTAAGATCAGGCCATCAGGCATATCCGTAACCATCCCCTTTAAATGCTGAGCCCCATCACTGGCCCCATCTTTTTAAGCATAGCACATGAATTCAGTTGTTTTCTTTCCCTGTTGTTGTCCTGGGGATGTAAAGGACACCGAAGAGGTAAGAAAGGTAGACTCCACTGCAGGACCACAGGAGGCCAAGGCCGAGCAGGCTGACTGCTTGCCGATTTTCAGTTGGCCTTTGTATATTTCAAAGAGCGCTGGGAAGCAGGCCCACCTCTGACGGTGACTACAGGCGTGAACTGAAACAGCAGCATCCAGAGATGCCGCGGGCCATGAGTTCAAGGAGTTAGAAAAACATGAGTCAAAGTGCTAGAGGTCAGGAGGGTCCATGCCCCGGCCTGTGTAGACCCAGGGTAGACAAGGCTGTGTTTCACTGGGTCCCAAATAATCCTGTGCTCCCATATGCCATCCACGCCTGGGGACAAGCACTAAGGGGGAATCTCTGCTTTGGGAGAAGGGAGCAGAGTTTCCTTGAGGGAAGGTCTACTGGGTGGCCTTCACTGCACATCCCATGCCCCGTGAGGACAGTAAGAAAAAGGGAAAGAAACTAGGTGGAAATCCCTCTGGGAGCCTCTCCTGGGCCAGCCAGCCTGTAGCAAAGCAGTGGATATTTCACTTGTCTTACCCTGTGGTTTCTTCCACAGTATTTTAATATAAGTGCATTTAACCAGTAAAAACAAACAAACAAAGCAGATGATCCACAGAGAATGCTGGCAATGGCAAACTCTTCTGTGACACCCGGACATGAAATCCAATGCTTTCCTGGGTCTCCACTCTTTTAATTGCTGTGACATTATGCAGTGACTATTGTTGCAGAATTCAGAGTCTGCATCACACCCAGCTCCTAATAAAGAGGAAGCTAGAACACAGCTTCAGAATGCATCCCATAGGAAAGCTTTCTCTGCAGGTGAAACTCTTGGGGTTTGGGGGTAGCTTCTTCCCTGCGAACCAGCCTTCCTCACCTCGGCTGTTCACAAGCTGGAGCATTCGTGGATTCGGGGGGAATACCTCACGCACGACAGAATGTTGAGCTGTATCCTTGATGTCTAACCTCAGATGATGCTGGACGGCACCCTAAATCGTGGCAGGAAATAAGTCTCTCCATGCTGTGAAGTAGTGCCGTTGAGAACCAATGCTGGAAACTGAATTTTAAAAATTGAGAGTAATGGTTGAGATCTTGGGCCAGAACCACTGTTCTTTCTTACAAATCATATTGAAGTTTAGAAATAGAATAGTGGGGGGCGGGGGGGAGAACAAGGGAATCCGTGGCTGATATGTAAAATTAAATTATATTATAAAATTTTAAAAAAAGGAGAAAAAAAAGAAATAGAATAGCATCCAGTCAAAAGCCCATTCAAAAACATGAGTGGATACTACAGATCCAATTGAGACTGTAATGGGATGGTGTTTTCCACTGCATTTAGCTATCAGCTAAAATGTCAACTAGGGAATCTTGTAGCTGGAGTTTTTCTGGTCCTGCCTGGCCCACAATCAGAACAAATCTTTCTCACCCACCAGTCCCGCAGTCACTCAGACTCAACGAGGCAAACACACAGAGACTTAATTACTTATAAACTATATGGCTGTGGCAGGCTTCTTGCTGATTGTTCTTATATCTTAAATTAACCCATTTCTATAAATCTATACCTTGCCACATGGCTCGTGGCTTACCAGTATCTTACATGTTGGTACTCATGGCGGCGGCTGGCAGCATCTCCTGACTCAGCCTTCCTGTTCCCAGAATTCCCACCTATACTTCCTGTCTGGCTACTGGCCAATCAGCATTTTATTTATACAGAGCGATATCCACAGCAGAATCTATTCTGGCGAGTTGGCTTAGTGGGTAAAGTACCTGCTGCACAGTGTGAGACTTAAAGTTCAGTTCTCAGTGCCCTCATAAGCTGGACATGGTGGCATGTGTACCTGTAACCCCAACAGTGGGACAGAGATGGGTGGATCCTGGAAGCTTGCTGGCCAGTCTAAATAAAATGGCAAGTTCTGGGTTCATTAAGAGAACTTGTCTCAAAAATTAGAGAAGCTATCAATGAAAGATCCTGACATCAATCTGTGACCTGCACACATTGCCTGCAGGAGTGCGTGACTGGTGTGCATATGCACAACACACACACACACACACACACACACACACACACACACACACACCATGATTTTGTTTTTTAAAGAATCTACAGCTGATGCATATTTGGAGATGGTTTCATTGTATAACACTGTCTGGCCTAGATCTTGCAAGGTAGACCAGGCTGGCTTCAAACTCACAGAGTTCTGCTTGCCTCTGCCTCCCAAGTGCTGGGATTAAAAGCATGCACTACCACATCTGGCTGCTGGTATTTTTATTAGTTCTCAAATACACATTTCTGGTGAGTACAGTGCCATGCTCTCAGGGAAAGGTGAAAGAGTGTCCACAATAAGGTGACTTCTCAGGGGGGAGCAGGGCCATCTCAGAGGCTGCGGGTGGTGGGATGGAGAAGCTTCAGTTCTTGGCTGGGTGGGACTAGCCAGTTTCGGATTTCAAATGAGACACTCACATCGGTTTGTATTACTAAGTGGTTGCAACTAGATGAGGCATGTGTACATGTGCCTGCCTGGGTGTTTGAAAGTGATGGAACTGCTGTTCCTGACCTGCCTGACTCCCTTACCTGGAGCCATACATAGTACATAGGTGTGGAAGATGCTTGGGAGCCCTGCTCAGGGATCAGAGTCCTACCCAGGAGCCTCAGGGACAGTGTTTCCAGTAATCAATCATCCTGGTCTGTGTCTAATGCCACTATTTGTCCATTTGCTGTCCCCACCTTCTCCTCCCCGCTTCTTCCTGGTCCTCTACTAGAGCTGCCCTGCTTGCTAGCTGCTGGGCGGCTCCTACCTGGTCCCCAGGGGCACCGAGTGCTTGGCAGGTACCACAGGTCCTAGTGAAGTCTCCAACAAGCCACCTCATGGGCAGCAGAGTAATGAGAACCCCAGAGACTTAGGGAGAGGCTTCAGACCCAGGACCATTTGAAGCTTCATGTGAGCACTACCTAGACTCTGGGAGCGTCCCTCACTGTGCTCAGTGTGGGAGGTAACCAAAGGGAAAGAGAAGACGTCAAGTTTGTCTTCACTCATTCCCTCTAGCTCTGGCTCCATCCTCACCTGCGGCCAGCGGAGGTCATCAAACGCCTCGTCTAAGAGTGGCATCTATGTCCAACCCTAATCTAAACGAGGCCTGTCTGCCCAGGTCAGGTGGGATGGGTTTCCTCTGCCTCCCTCCTTTCCCTGGGGAGAGGCAGCCATCTCCACTGTACCAACCACTCTGAGCTGCCTGGGTTGTCTTAACCTGCCACGGCCTGTGTGGAGGTCGGCAGCGGATAAAAACACAAGTTCACCCACCAGAGTTTTACTAAATGTTTTTATATTTTCATGTCCAAAATTTTATATCCCTCCCTTTTTTGACAATCTGGATCTAATGTCATTCTGATGCCATAGAAAAGTATTGTTCCCCCTCTCGCAGACCATTTGGGGTTGGACAAAAGAAACTAGCTTTGTTTCCCCCAAATATTAGAAGATCCTGAAAAGTCACCCTACATGTCAAGTCAGCATAGCTGGGATTTGGCAAGTAAACATGGCAAGGGGTGCACAGGAGAGTCCCTTGGGGTTACAGCAGGTGGGGGGGCAAACAAGGACTAAGTGGGTATGGAGATCTGAGGTGAACGGATCTGCTGAGCATACCCAAGCTGCTTCCTGGAGGACCACTGAGGATGCCGAGTCAGGGAGGAGACCAGCAGCAGAGCTGACTCCTGTGAGCAGTAGAGGTCTTGGGTCTTTACTATGATGTGTATAAAGGTGCATGTGTGTGCATGTGTGTGCACATGGAGGCAGAGGACAACTTCATGTGTCATTCCTCAGGAGTATTAACCACCTTTCCCTCGAGACAGTCTCTCATTGGCTTAGAGCTCATCATGTAGTTTAGGCTGACTTGTTACTGAACCCCAGGAATCCACCTGTGAGAGAGAGAGAGAGAGAGAGAGAGAGAGAGAGAGAGAGAGAGAGAGAGAGAGAGAGAACTGGAATTATAAGTACATGCCATCAAATCTGACTGAGTTAGTAAACACTCTATGGTCCCTAACTGATGTTTAAAACACTGTTAATAAACACTACTGTCAAGGACATGGACCTAAGAGTTCTCTTACACACTGCTGGTGAGAATATAAAGTAGTCAGTCACTATAGAAACCAGTTTGGAGGGTTCACAAAAAACTAACAACAGATCCAGATGCAGCTCTTCTGGGCATTTCTCTGAAGGACTCTAAGTCAACACATTACAGAGACACTTGCACGTCACTGTTTACCTCAGCACCTGTCATAAGAACAGAGTCATGCAGCCAACCGAGGTGCCCAGCAGCAGAGGAATGGATGAGGAAAATGTGTGATGGGTACACAATGGGATTCTTTTCATCTGTGAAGAGTGGGGTCATGTTATCTGAAGGATAATGGGAATTAATTGAAGATAAATGAATTAAGCCAATGTTGGAAAGACAGATACTATGTATGTTCTCTCACTGCGGCTCCTGGAGTTTATATAGATACATAACATCATGTGTGTATATATGACATGGAAGTAAAGTAAAGTTGCTACAGGGGACGAGAGACAAAGGGATGGACGGGAGGGAAGGGCACACATCAAATACAGTGTGATTTGAAAAGTTTACACACGTCTCCTCATAAATCTTCATATCCACTTAAATTGACCAGAGGTCAACATCTTGGCACTCCAAATTTAGTTCATCCATATGTAATGTGACAGCAGAGAACACTCACTGTCAACTTTGGGTTTTTTGGTTTTTGGTTTTTTGGCTTTGTTTTTTGCTTTAATTATTGACTATTTGCCAAGCATGCCTTTGTTTCAAGAAAATCTTGAAATGAGCTAACCAACAGTAATCCTCTGTGACTCAATGATGAGTGTGGGCACAGAGCACATAGCCATCACCGTCCTTTTCTGTTTCAACCATTTCAGAAAAAGGCAGTTCACGGCATCTTCGGGTGCTTTCTGAGTAATTTTAATGACAGTGTCCACGGTTCCTCTCCATAGAGACTTCTTCATAAAGCCAAGCACAAATATTCTCTCTGCATATCATATGGTCAAATGAAACAAAAAAAGGGAACATCAGTTACTCCTTTCAAAATTTCAGAAAATTTGGGTTTTAAAAAAATTCCCATATATGTGAGTACGGATGCCCTTGGGAGCCAGATGGGGGTGTCCGATCCCCTGAAACTGAAGTTAGAAGAGGTTGTGAGTCCACATGTCTACCAAATTCAAGTGTTTTGCTAGAGTAGTGAGTGCCTTTAGACACTAAGATATCTCTCTAGGTCCTGGGTGTTTTGTTGTTGAATTCACCATATCTGAGCCCCACATCAGACAAAGCTAATGGTTTACACCTCATTCTGTCTCTACCTCATTATTAGCAGATGCAATGGAGCTGTAAATAGCCATAGCCTGAGTCCATTCTTTTAGGTTGATTGATACTTCTTCATAAGTTTGAAGGTCCTTTGAAATAAAATGGATCCAAATTATCTATTGGGGTGTCTTTCTGTCAAATGACTTACCTAAAACTAAGGAAACATGACTGCCATTGAAACCCATCCAGCCCATTGACCTTTAGTAGTGTTGAAAAGTTTTGTCTTATCCAATGGTTTGGTGGCTTTATTGAAGGTTTTTCACTTTAGTGAAACAGTCTTGTACAATTGTCTAGCAAAACTTTCCTACAGCTGAAATGATTTCTTTCCCAGTCTTTCCAGCTCAAGTTACTTCATTTGACAACTGCCTGAGCCATTCTGTTGCTTCTCAAAGTCACAAAGTTACAAAGCATCACTTACAAAGCTGAGCCGGCCAAGTGGCATGGACCTGTCATATCCTCCCTGGGAGGCTGAAGGTGGACTCAGGGGTAAAGATGCTTGCCACTAAGAATAGAGACCTCTACAAGTGTGCTATGGTGTACACACACACACACACACACACACACACACACACACACACACACACACACAATTTTTTAAAAAATAAATTTGAGCTTACCTGGGTAACTTTGTTAGACCCTGTCTCATAATAAAGAGTAAAGGTAGACATGCTAGCAGGAACTACTAGGCCCAGCACTTGGGCAGCAGAAACATGCATCTCTGTGGATCTGAGGCCAACCTGGTCTACGTTGAGAGTACCAGGACAGCCAAAGGAAGATAGAGAGACCCTATTTCCAAAACAAATAAAGAGGCTGGCACTTGTCTAGCATGTAGAGTCCCTATATTCTTTTCCCAGTATTGCCCCAGTTTTTTTTAAATTTTATTTTCTTAATTTTTTGCTAGAGATTTAATTCTAAACTCAGATAATTAAATTTTGTCTGTTCTGTTTGGACTATTGTGAAGAAATTTCTTAACAAATTCACTGTGAGAGTTATTCATTGCTCTGTAATAAATTAACCCAAGACGACATATAGATTATCTCACAGCTTCTGTGGGATCAGGAGTCTGGGGGTGATGTAGCTGGATAGTTCTGGCTCAAGATCCCAAACTCCTGGAGAATGCTTCCCAAACTCACTCACTTGGTGGTGCCCATCACTTGCTGTTTGACTGTTAGCTAGAGGCCTTGATGACTCAGCCTGGGTGCTCCAAAATTAGCTTCAGGGCTCACTTCTTCCAGAAAGATCTGACACAGAGAAAAGAAAAGTAAAAAAAAAAAAACAAAAAACTGGAAGCCATGACCTCCCCTAGAATGACATGTTTCTCACATTCAAAGGAAAGGAAATTAGTTCCATTTCTTTGGTTTTGGGTTTGGTTGGTTGGCTGGTTGGCTGGTTGGTTAGTTTTCCAAGACAGGGTTTCTCTGTGTAACAGCCCTGGCTATCATTGAACTCACTCTATAGACCAGGCTGGCCTTGAACTCACAGCGATCCATCTGCTTCTGCCTCCTCAGTGCTGGGATTAAAGGTATGCACCACCACCACTTGGCTGGTTTGGGCTTTTGTTTGTTTGTTTGTTTGATTGATTGATTGATTTTATACAGGGTCTAGCCATGTAAGCCAGACTGGCTATGTTGCCCAGCTTCACTGTCCATACAGTTTACCTAGTAACATATAACAAAACTATGCACAGTGTGGACCCTGCCCTCTAGGAACATGACATCCCATCTCCCCAGGTCCCAACCATCCTTCAAATAGATGATCTGCTGTTTTCAATAGTTTAAAATGCAGACACATGACAGATCTGACACTTTCTGTGTTGTCTCATTGGGTATAAGGGAACCAGCAGTAGAATGAACATCTGACAGATATCTGCCAGCCCAGGAAAGAAACTTCCAAAACTTCTTACTGTGCTACAGAAGTCAATGGGGAAACACTACGAGCCGAGAGTAGAAAGTGGTTTGCAACTGTCCTTAGTGTTCCTTCCTCCCAACACTTGCACAGTTACACGGCTTCACAGCTCAGAACTAGACACCTGCCCAGAAGCTGATTTCCCAGTACAGTCTCCAGCTGAAAATGACCCTTGTCTGAAGCAGCTTGAAGAACAGCTGCCAGATTCCCTTCGCTTGCCAGCAATCCTGCCTTGTTTGAAATGAAATGGTGGTTTCAAACATTTAATCCAAAGTCACGGTAGCCAAGAGGAGACTTGCATGACCAATTAAGTCACTGAAAGGTGACACTGTGCAGGCCCACGTTCATGTTCACAGTTCACTGTACAGTGCCCAGCTACTGGTAGGCCAACATGAATTTGGTAAATCTATTTATTAATTAAAGAACACATGGGGTGCAAGTCAGAGGCCTCTATCTCTGATGGGGCAGTTTTGAGGTAGTGTAGGTGGAGTTTTCCTGTCCTTGCAGCCACTCTGAAATAATCACTCAGAGGCTTAATATTAATTACAAATGCTTGGCCACTAGCTCAGACTTATTACCAACTAGCTCTTCCATTTTAAGTTAACTCATATTCCTTATGTATGCTCTGCCATGTGGTGGTACCTTTATTAGCCTGGCATGTTCATCTCCAGCTCCCTCTGTATCTGGCTAGTGACTCCAAATTCTGCCCTTCTTCCTCCCAGTGTTCTCTTAGTCTGGCTCTCCTGCCTAAATTTATTCTGTTTACCTATTGGCCAGTCAGCTTGTTTATTAAACCACCTCTTCACAGTATACAAAAGAATTACTACACAGCAAAGTAGGTCCAGCTTTAAAGTCTTTTTGTCCTTATTGAAAGGGCTTCCATCATTCTTCGGTAATTAAGGATATGTTTCAACAATGCTACAGAGTTGTTGGTCCTCCTGGATAGTCCAATTTTGTGCAGGCTTAAATTTTCAACCAAAGCTGTACTGAGAGCACAAACAAAATATATACGTGGAAGGGGCTAGAGAGATGATTCAGTGATTAAGAGTACAGACAGTTCTTGAGAGGACTCCAGTTGGGATACCAGGACCAATGTCAGGGCTTACAACCTCCTGTAAATCCAACTCCAGGGGATTCCATGCCCTCTTCTGGCCTCTAATGACACTGTCCTCAATGTGTACATATGTTATTACTAATAAAAGTCTTCTTTAAGTATATATATGGAACAATAAAACCCTCAGCAATCAAATAATGTTGCAGAATATTATTTTAACTAGGCAAAGATGTGTTACATTTGTTTATGCTGCAGAATATTATTTTAAGTGTGTAAAGGTGTTACTTTTGTTTATGCTGCATTTGTTTAATGATGTAAGGATGTGTGTTTAGTTATGTAAAGATAGGTTGCATCTGTTTCATCTTGCCTGCCTAAGGCACCTTATTGGGAGAGGGATAGGCGGGGCTGGCAGGGAGAGAGAATAAATAGGAGAAGGAGGAGGCGAGAAAGAGGGACATGCCCGGAGCAACACAACCCCAGCCAGCCAGACATAAAGAAAGTAAGAAAAGGTAAAAAGCCTGGAGGCAAAGGTAGATAAAGAGAAACAGGGTCATTTAAGTTAAAAGAGCTAGCCAGAAATGTGCCTAAGCTAGGCTGAGCATTCAAAACTAATAATGAGTCTCTGTGTCATGATTTGGGAGCTGGTTGGTGGCCCAAAAGGAAAAAAAAAAAAGCCCGGCACAATAATTTTTTAATGCAATCATCATAAAAATCAAAATTACAAAAAGAACCCATGATACCAATTTAAAGAGAAACATGATCATCAACAGTCTGCTCCGTGGAGCCACTTACGGGCTGACCAAACAGCGGGGAGGAGGGAAGGGGTGCCGGTCTGTTACTTTCTTTTTTAGCTGATTATTCTGAAACATAGCCTTGCCTTCTGAATTTTGTGGTGCTCCCCTAAGTTTTGTCCCAGAGGCAAGTACGTGTCCCCCAACTCCCAGGCCCCTTCATCCTGCAGATAGGGACACAGGGTGCCAGGAAAGCCATAGGGCTCCACAACCAGGATAAAGACAGCCACAGAAACCATGACGCTCACTAAGTCTCGCGAGAAGACACTGCACCTGGCCACCCAATCCAAGCCTGCGGCTTCTTCCCGCGCTTTCGAGCCCCACCAGGCCAATCACGGCGCGGGGCTGTTCGCACGGGCCAATAGGAGCGCTCCTCGAGCGGTGGGCGGGCCGCCGGCAGCCGTTACCCGACAAGCCCCGGGATACTACTCGTTGGGAGGCAGAGTAGGCGGTGAAGGCGACCTGGTGGAGAGGTGCAGCCACGTCGTCGGGGACGCGGGCGGCACTCATGGTGAGCCCAGCATGGAGGGGAGACACCCCGGGGAAGGTGGGGCTGGGAGCCCGTTCCGCCTGAGCTGTCAGCAGCCAGGCCAGGGCGCAGTGGCATTTGTGACCCCCCCCCACCACACCACCACAGTAGTAGTTTGCTCTTGCGCTCATTCTTGCAACGGTTTCATAGTTTTTTAGTTTCCCGAGACAGGGTTTCTCTGTGTAACAAACAGCCCTGGCTGTCCTGGAACTCATTCTGTAGCCCAGGCTGGCCTCGAACACACAGAGATCCGCCTGCCTCTGCCTCCCGAGTGCTGGGATTAAAGACGTGTGCCGCCACCGCCACCACCCGGCAGTTTTGTTGTTTTTCAGATGAGAGACCGGCTTGCAGACAAAGATCTTTGGTGCATGAATGAGCGAATCCTTGGGATCAGTCATTTATTTCTTAATGTTTTATGGGCTGCTTTCCATTTCCCAGCTCTCTAAACATTACTAGTTTTAGGGTTCTGATTCCAGGCGTTTAATAAGAACTTCAGTGGATCCTTTCCAAGCATCAAAGTAACAGCGTCAACAGTGTTCACAGTTTCCTAGCCAGAAAGGATTCAGGCTGGCCTGGATGTCATGTTTGAGGATGCCCTTGGATTGCTGATGGTCTTACTATGGCTGCCTCATAGTGTGAAATTCTAGGTGTGAGTCGACAGGAAAAATATATCAAAGGGTGTTGTTGTTGTTTTAATTTTAGAAAGCTGGGGATCATGGAAATTAGTTTTGTCACTTGCAAGAAACTATAAAACGAAGCTTTGTACAGAATGCCTGGGGATGTTAGTGGATGCTGGGGATCCAAACTTAAATCCTTCAGCTTGCAGCAAGCATATACCTTCTCAACTTGTTGGTTTTTCAAAACTGTACAGTTTGTTTAGGAAACAATTTCTATCTCAAATTAGTCTTTGAGATTATTGTGACATCTTAACAACCTGGTTGTGGTGGTTGAATCAGAATGGCCCTCGTGGGCTCATATTTGAATACTTAATCACCAGGGAATAAAACGGTTTGGTAGGATTAGGAAGTGTGGTGTTTTCTGAGGAAGTGTGTCATTCAGGGTGTGTTTTGAAATTTGAAAAGCCCAAGCCAGGCCCAGACTCACTCTCTTCCTGCTGCCTGTGAATCATGTATGTCTGCCTGCCTGTGTGCGTGCCCCGCCATGCTCCCTGCCATGATAATAATGGTTGGTCTAAGCCTCTGAAACTGTAAGCAAGCTCCCAATTAAATGTTTTCTTTCATAAGAGCTGCCTTGGTCATGGTGTCTCTTCACAGCAATAGAACAGTGATTTCATGTACTATATTTTTTCATGTACTAGAGAAATTTAAGAATGTCTTGTGTCTTGCTTGAGGTTTTTGTTGTTTTTTTTTTTCTTGTTTTTACCATAATTCTTTGTTAATTGTTTGGGAATTTCACATCATGTACGCCAGTCCTGCTCACGTTCCGGTCCCTCCATAGAGGGTGTGTGTGTGTGTGTGTGTGTGTGTGTGTGTGTGTGTGTGTGTGTGAATTCAGACTTTTAAAACAGTTATTCAAAAAAGCTGGAGGTGTTGCTTAGTTGATAGTGTTTACACAAAGCCCTGGGTTTAATCCACGATACTCCATAAGTCAGATATGGTGGCATGTACTGTAATGTCAATACTTGAGAGCATGAAGACAGATGGGTCAGCCATTCAAGGTAATCCTTGGCTACATAGTGAATTTGAGGCCAGTTTGGGATACATGGAGACCCTGTCCAAAAAAACCCAAGGTTAGCCACGTGTTCTACCTGTTTTAATGTTTATTGGCTGTGATAGTAGAATCTTTGACTGTAGCTGCTGCTTTGTTATTTCTAAGATTTTTTTTTAGCTCTGTGCCAGTTAACTAACAGTTCAATGTTATGCCTTTTCTAGAATGTACATCTTTGAACTATGCAGGCCACTGCAGTGGTAGAAACAGATTCTGATAAAAAATACCATAAAAATGGAGGAAACCTCCAAAAAGGTAAGGATCCAAGCCCGTTGGAGAAGGGTGCTAATTATAAACGAAGGTTTCCCTTCAGGGTTGCTGTTTTAAAGCCTCTCCCAGCAAGCTGGTACAATTCCGCATATTTTTAACCTTGCCAATTCCCTTGTGAGTTTGTTGTAGCTGAGGACAAACTGCTTTTATAATTATGTAGTAGGAAAGGCCAAAGACAGACCTTGTAAGTCCATGGGAGACCAATCTGTTTAACTGTCTGTTAAAATGTTAATATAAGACAGCATACAAAGTTTAAAATGAGCAGTACTTGTAAAAATCAAATAATCAGTGTCCCAGATGTATGACAGTAGCTCGTGTGTGAGTCTTTGTTTACTGCACCTTGTATCAGTAACCTCAGATCCCTTGCCTGGGCTGAACTGTGTCCCTCCTTCCCCGTCCTGCTTTCCCTCCTCCTCTCCCCTGCTCTTCATGGCAGTCAGTCCCTCTCTTTCGTCCTAAGTATCCCCATTCATGTGCAGTGCCTGGTGAATCTTAGAGTGGGACTTAAGCAGGTAGAGGCCAATTGGTGGTCATGAAATAAAATGAGCTAATTGTGCTTTTTAGTAAAGTGAAATAGAAACTCCCAGAATGCATTGGCCCAAGAGTAGTTACTGCTTGATAAGCTTTTTGATTCCCTTCTTGGCTCATCATATGTCTGCTGTTGAGTACCCTCTCTGGTCTTCCTTCTGTACTCTTGATCTACCTTCCTTCACTTTCCAGACTTCTTACAGATGCTTTTCACAGCTCAATCCCAGTCACATGACTACCCTTTTAAGAGGCTTGCAGTGGCTTTCCCACCCCTTAGGGTAAGAGCCAGACATCCTTAGCACCTCATAAAAGGCCTTTCCAGTCTGCCATGCTTCTCTCAGATGTCTCTTCTGCTCTGTGCAGCTGGCCTAGTTCCTGCAAGGGCCACATTCATTCACACAGCCAGCTGCACTTGTTGGATTTATCTAAGACAAGTGTGTCCCTTTTGTTTGAAACACTTTTCAGATGTAAAGTTTTTATCCAAGTCTGCCCCTCCTTTCTCCTCAGATTCACCTGTTCCATTAGCACAGCGGTCAGAGCATCTCTTTTAACTGTGGTGGGGGTTTTGTGTGTTTATCTAAGACCCTTTGGAAAGCCAAGCTGTGGTGGCAACACCAGTGTCCTCTTACCTTCATTTACACACTACCTACAAATGACCCAGTAGCTACCCCAAAATTTATTCAGCAATAGTATATTTAAAAATTTCTAATTAGACCTGTCCACAAGTTAAGTGGCTGTCCTGTAGAGGAAAGACTTCTCACCATTGAAAGAGTTCAGGAAGACTCGACACTTGTATTGCCTTGGATAGCTTATTGATTAAGTGCTTTAAAGAACTGCAGATTATTTTCTTGTAGTTCTGAAGTGTGAGATTGAGGTACCAAGATGGTCAGATTCTCCTGAGGTGTCTCGGTTCATATTCTATCTTCAGATGGTGTGTGACTTGAAGCACTCTGTTGCATTTTAAGGAGGACTAACCCTATCATGAGGGTCCTGCACTCCTGGTCTAAAGGCCCACCTTTAATAACCATCACAGTGGGGCTAGGACTTCAGAGTGGTTGTTTGGGAGAGGTTTCCATTTATTTTAGTTGCTATAAGGGGTATTTGTATTTGTCATTAATAATGTAAAAGTAGCCCAGCATTTGGGGGAAGTAGGACCAAATTATTGTGGTGATATTTTATTGTGCTCTAATAAGTAAAACTTATCTGGAGATCAGAGGACAGAGCCAGCCACTAGATTAGACATATAGCCCAGACAGTGGTGGCACACACCCTTAATCCTATCACTTGGGAGTCAGAGATCCATCTGGATCTCTGTGAGTTCAAGGCCAAACTGGGAACAGAGCCAGGCATGGTAGCACACACCTTTAATCCCAGGAAGTCATGGCAGGAAGCAGAAAGGTATATAAGGTGTGAGGACCAGGAACTAGAAGCTTTTACGAGTTCAGCTAAGACCCTTCTGGGTGAGGACTAAGAGGCTTTCAATCGGCTGAGGAGTTGGCGAGGTTGGATGTGGCTTGTTCTGTTTCTCGGATTTTTCAGCTTCCACCCCAATATCTGGCTCTGGGTTTTTTTTATTAATAAGACCATTTAGCAATTCATCTTATAGATTATGTCTAGTCTTTTCCAATGTTTAGTTTCTGTAATGTTAACATATTCTCTTTCACTTTTTTGAACAGATAAACCTTATAATAATCTTAAGAAAGAAAGTGTGTTCAATGGTTGCAACGAAGTCAAATTGACTTTTCCTGATGGTGAATGGGACTCCTTGGCAGCAGAACAAAGAGCTAGTGACAAAGAAATCAGCAGTATTGACAAGACAGATTTATCAGAACCATCTTTTTCTGTAAATCAAGATACTAATGTAGAGAAGATTTTCTCTCAGTCAAGTGAATTTGAAGACAGTATTGACTATGCTCTTTTGAACGAGACATACTCTATACATTGCTCAGAATCAAAACTCAAGAATGAAAATCTTCCACATTTATATTCAGAATTACGTCCTGAAGTGCACAAAAAAGTGGAGGCATTGTTTGACATTGTAGGGCCTCAAGATAATAATCGTGTTGGCTTGGAAAGGAGCCATGAGATTTCCGGTGGAGCTTGTGGAGACGCGCAGAAGAGTGTCATGGGTGACGATTCGCAGCAGGAGTATCACAGTGCAGAGCAGGAGTGCATAAGCACATACTTGCCTCCCGACCCAGCTAAAACAGCAAGCACATCCAGCCTGGATGTTAGTGAGTTGA